GGGGGGGGCAAATGGAAGAAGATTTTTGTTGGCTTATGGGACACCGGAAATCCAAGATTAGTGTTGATGCTCACCTGACGGCACGCATTAATAACTAATTGCCAATATTTAACTATTCTCGCTATATTATATTTTGAAACAGTCTATTTTATTTATTCTATATATTATTTATTTATAATTTAATTCCCATTATATTTGTTTCCAACCAATATTTTAGTATTTATTGTATACAGCTATTTCAAAAAAAGGTTGAATACTGGGCCCAGTTGTTCAAAGCCCGATTAGTGCTAATCCTGGGTTAACTCTTAATAAGACCTATAGAGTTAATCCTGGATTAGCGCTAATCCAGCTTTGAACAACCCGGCCCTGTATACTGAATAGTGCATTCCAAGACCAAAGGCCATTGTGGGTCTCGTTAATTTGAAATAAAAGTAAATATACAGCAATCAACTCTCTACATGTAATTAGTATATTGTTTCAGATAGAATACACTAAAAATAGAAACGTTTTTTCATTTTTTCATCTTTGCATGGTGTTAAGTTTACCCTTTTATAGTTACTATTCTATGTGTACATTTAGATACTGTTGCAGTCTGATAGGACAGTAAAATCATAATAAAACGATCTGATATGCATTTCTTATTCTTCATCTTAGATTAAATCAGCAGCTATTCCGTGCAAGTATGTCTAGTTGGGTTACAGAAACACCAGAAAAAGTTAACTACACCAAACTGTGTCGGCTTCTTTACGATGGAGGAACAATAGCAGCAAGGTCTGTGTTAGATACAAAGATTCCTCCTCCCACTTTAGCAACTGAGCTAAACAATTTCGAACGGACACTACTAAAACTCAAGAAGCCCAAGGGAAGAATACTGACTCAAAACCAATGGGACAAACTTTACCCATCAAGTGGTGCCATCCCCAAATCTGAGGACTTCGACATCACCTTATTGTTCGTTCTGTTGAGGAACATTTGTGGACTTACAAAACCACTCACTGGTTGGGACACCCTGCCACCACCGGCAGACAAAACACTAGAGGCAGACCTAGCCAGGATAAAGTTCTACAGGAATGAGGTCATAGCACACAGCTCAAGTGCTGAAATTGGTAAAGTCCAGTTTGAGGATTGCTGGAAAGAGATTTCATCAGCTCTTGTATCACTGGGTCTAAAGCAGGATGACATCGATGACTTAAAGTCCTCTCCAATTGGAACTGAAAACTACAACAACTTAGTTTATGAATGGCATTTGTATGACAAAGAAATAAAAGAGCAACTTGAAGAGATCAAATCAGACACAAAAGCGATTAAATTGGACACAGCAGAGGTGAAGTCAACCGTAACCAACATCGAGTCAGGTATTGCAGATATTCAATCCAGGCTACCATATTCGACTTCATTCTCAAATATTAATAACCTTTTTCATCATGACTTCAGTAACTTAATTCGCTCATTGAGTAATTCTTATCATCCCGATACACGTCAGTGGATATTTGACCGAGTGAAGTCACATGTGGAAAGCAGAGAGTCATACCCAATAATGGTGATTCAGGCGGGGCCTGGAATGGGGAAATCAGTGGTCACTGCTAAAATTTGTGAAACATACAAAGTGCAAGGCANTAAATGTGTAATAAACAAATTATTACATGTTAAGAACTCGCTCGTTCGCGATATGATACGGAAAAACTCGTGAATAAAAACGATATCAAGTTCTTAACATGTGATAATCTCTATTTATTCTTCATCTTAGATTAAATCAGCAGCTACTCCGTGCAAGTATGTCTAGTTGGGTTACAGAAACACCGGAAAAAGTTAACTACACCAAACTCTGTAGGCTTCTTTACGATGGAGGAACAAAAGCAGCAAGGTCTGTGTTAGATACAAAGATTCCTGCTTGTACTTTAGCAACTGAGCTAAACAAATTCAAACCCAAACTACTTAATCTGAAGAAGCCCAAGGGAAAAGTACTGAATCCAAACCAATGGGATAAACTTTACCCATCAAGTGGTGCCATCCCCAAATCTGAGGACTTTGACATCACCTTATTGTTCGTTCTGTTGAGGAACATTTGTAAACTTACAAAACCACCCACTGGATGGGACACCCTGCCACCACCAGCAGATAAAACACTTGAGGCAGAGCTAATCAGGATAAAGTCCTACAGGAATGAGGTCATAGCACACAGCTCAGTTGCTGAAATTGGTGATGTCCAGTTTGAGGATTACTGGAAAAAGATTTCATCAGCTCTTGTATCACTGGGTCTAAAGAAGGATGACATTGATGACTTAAAGTCCTCTCCAATTGGGACTGAAGACTACAACAAGTTAATTAATGACTGGCATTTGCATGACAAAGAAATAAAAGTGCAACTTGAAGAGATTAAATTCGGCCAAGACAAGCTGAACTCAGCCATGGAGTCAGGTTTTGCAGATATTCAATCCAGGCTAACATATTCGACTTCATTTTCAAATATTAATAACCTTCGTCATGATGACTTCAGTCACTCAATTGGCTTACTGAGTAATTCTTATCATCCCGATACACGTCAGTGGATATTTGACCAAGTGAATACACATGTGAAAAGCAAAGAGTCATGCCCAATAATGGTGATTCAGGCGGGGCCTGGAATGGGGAAATCAGTGGTCGCTGCTAAAATATGTGAAACATACAAAGAGCAAGGCATTCTTGGTGGTTGCCATTTCTTTCAACACTACAACTCTCTACAAAACAACCCAAGATTGATGTTCCAGTCCATTGCAAGGCAACTCTGTGACTCAGTTCCTGGTTATAAAGAAGCTTTGGAGAAAAGACTTAAACCACTTTTTGAAGGAGGGAATCTCTCAGATTTAACATGTGAGGAACTATTCACTGAATTATTTCAACCATGTTGTAATATTACATCAATGAACAATGTACTGATTGTCATTGATGCTCTTGATGAATGTTGTAATACTTTGAAAACGGAATTTTACAAAGTTCTTACAAATAGATTTTCTTGCTTGCCACGTTGGTTACGTTTCGTTATTTCCACAAGACCACCACCAAGTATGTCTGCATTGGAGATGTTCGGCACTGTCATCGATATTGATCCAGAGGATGAGCGAAATAAACGTGATCTTCAGTGCTTCTTCAGTGACAAATTGAAAGAACTGAGACAAGTTTCTACTAGTGAATCTTCCAATGAAATTCTTGAACTTGTTCATTTGACTGAAGGCTTATTTTTGGTAGCTTTTTTTGTCATTGATTTCTTGAAAACTAAAGACATTACGTCACTACAAGAAGCATTGGAACACTTTCCCAAAGGCAAAGGAATCACTTCCGTGTATGATGATTATTTCTCTAGACTAAGGAAAGAACTCGTACCACGCCTGAATGATGAAGTGGGGTTTTTCAAGATGCTGGATGCTGTGGTCGCGGCCAAGTTCCCTATCGAAATAAAGATTTTCTACGAAATCCTTGGCCTTAGCGAGGAGTCTAGAATACCAAACGGAGAGAGAAAGGAAGCCATTCACCTTCTGCACCAGTTGTTCCCAGTAGAGGATGATCACGTGTCGGTATTTCATAAGACTGTCATTGACTGGCTCACAACTGGAGACCATGTCTTCAAAGTAAAAGGTGACGGTAGTGGAATACTTGCTAAGGTTTGCTATGTAGTCTTGGAAGATATAAGGCAAGGTTCTAAAGAACTAAATGAGCCACTCACTTTGACAGACAGTGAGACGTATGCCTTGGAGTATGGACTTGGTTGCATGAGTAAAGAGAAAAGGCTGGAAACCGAGACAAACTGTTTTGTGTTCTGCTCACAAACATTGAATGTTGCTAGAAGAATTTATGAAAGTAAAGGACAAAACGTTTTACAACCGCATCATTTGTCATCTCGTTATAACAACTTTGAACAATCTCTTTCTGAAGAGCTTAGGGATGTTTATAACCAAGTTCTCGAAACTTTTCAGGAATATCACGATAAACATCAATCAAGTTGCCGTTTCCATAATCTTCCAAACTTTGGTCAATGTTTGGCGTTCGCTCTTCAGGCTTTTAACCTGTTAAAAATAGATCAAATAACACCAAAGCCTCGTGCTCTCCTCGATGAAAGAAAACTTCCATACCTTGAACGAAATGAGTTGYTCAGAGAAGAGTGGGTAACTGATCCTGATTCTACAGAGTTCCTAGTTGCTAATGATAGATTCTTGCTTGTAAAGTATTTGGACCAACAAACCTTAGTACAGCAATACCAGCTTGATGGGACGCGGCTTGTCAACGAAGAAAGATTTGAGGGGAAGAAGAAGATACTCATGTCTCCTGGCTATGARTTTGTTGYTGTTACRCCAGTACGTGCAAGWGRMAACATCGATATCTTTGATGCTACAACTCTACGAAAACGCACAAGCTTTAAGCCACCAAATGTGATAAGATCATGTCATGTATTTGGTAACAGTCAGTCCTGGTTCATCGTTACAAGATGCTTCAACAATAAGATATATATAATGAAAGGAGAAACAGGCGAAGAGGTTGGTCATCCTATTGTTGTGCAACAAGACGACGAGATTCTGGCTGTCAGCAATGTTGGTCATATTCTGTTAGAAAGAACTTGTGATTCGCTTYATRCAGGAAGGATTGTGGAACATTGTTTTACTGATGAAGATGAAACCTTTCTTGTCCAAATGATATGGACTGGCAAGCTACGTGTAACTTCTGATAATCGAAGTTATAATGGCGTTTTCTCCCCGGATTTATCCGAATCATCATTTCCAGTCTCATATTATACAACTCGAGAACTGTTTCTCTGTGATTACAATAAAGTGGACCAGAAAATCCCTATCTACGCACGATTACCAGCTTCTGTTTGCAGATGTGAAGAGCTTCAACCTTTAAGACGCAAAGCTGTGGAATTATTGGAATTCTTTGGCCAACCAGTGTGTTTTTCTGATGAAGGAAATCTCTTAGCTTTCTATTACGGTGGTTTCATAACAATTGTACACACATCCGATGGTTCTTTATACSAATGCATTGATACACGTCCATATCCAGCGACCCGTATCATAAACATCTTATTCCTGTCGCAGGACAGAATTTTCCTACAAGATGACAGGAAAATCTTTCTTTTCAAGATTGGAACAGGAAGAGAAATTGTTCTGGAACACATGCTCTTTCTTCAACCTGACACCAAGTTTTGTTGGTTATCAAGCACCATCAGTCAAGAAAACATGAAAACCATTTTATATGCGAAAAGAGCATATGGCCAGTTTTTAGAGTGTGATAGAGCTAAGTACCGTTACTTTGAAAAGTATGAATTTCATAATCTGCATTAGATTTCTTACCTAGACTGCATATCATGTATTTCACAATTCTCTAAGACTAGCGGGATACAGTCTTACGCTTACAATACTTATATATCAATATCAGATGCATTACGGTTTTGTTAGTATTGGTTTTCCTGTCGAGTTACACCACAAAGACTCAAAGAAAGTATATATACAAGACTGAAGGAGTGCATGGGATAGATTGAGTAGAGAGTTTTGTTATCTAAGATAGGTATCAGTCATGTAGTGAAGGTGGTCTAACCCACCACGTGTATAACAGTAGG